ATCGACAACGTTACTTATATTCGTATTAAAGTAGGGTTTCGAGACTACCAGTAACTCAGTGTAATGAGAGCATATTAAAACGTAGGTTAATTAAGGCCATGCGGAATGGCCAGCTCTCTAGGTTTTTTTGGCGAACCTGATTACAAATAGTTTGAGGCTAACTGTTCCCCTTTTGTTTTGTAGAAGAGCCAAATTGGCGTAATTTAATAAACACTTTATACGCATTTATTTTTTGCTTTATCACCCCACTAAGCACAATGTCTTTATCTCTTTATAGGTTTTTGTGGTTTCTACCACCCCCACTGTCTCCAATATGGCCTCAGCCACCAGTGAGCTGGCTCTGCATTCATCACCGTCTAACAGCAGTCTTTTGCTGTTAATGCCCACTCGTAGCGGAATTGGGCGTCGCTCGGTCTACGGGACCGGGTCGAATGCCTCTCCTGATCCCGCCCACTTGCGTCGACCACGTGGCCATCCAATTGGGCGCGTTTCAGGCTCGGCCTCCGGTGGCCCTGAGGCCGTAGCTCCCTGCCTGATGAATGAGACCCGAGCCGTAAAGTCTCGCCGTGCATTACCATCCGACGTCGGCATTGCTCGATCACGAGGTTGGCTTGGAACGGCCGCTCAAGCGACTGGGTCGGCTGGAGATCAAATGGAGCGAAGCAATAGTATGACAAGTAGCCTGACAATAGCAGCTCGTCTGCGTCGTCATTTTACAGGTGCCTGGAGGGCAGGATCACTTGCCCCTGAATCTCCTGGACTAAAAGCTGTCCGTGGCAATACCAGCATGGCTTATGACAGTCGTAGTCAGGAATGCCGTATAAACGGTCCGAAGGAATATCAGCTATCACAAAACAGTCACTCTGACAACCATACCACTGAAGAGGTTGGAGCGAATACAATGGCGAGCGAAACACTAAATACCTACGATGCTCCGAAGAAAGATGGATTGACACAACAGATATGTCAGCAAGAACAGAAGCAGAAGGCGGAGGAGCAAGCTGATATAGTGGACAAGGAAAATGTGGGAGAGGAGATGGAGGTTGAAGATGGCAGCGAAAACGAGAATGTCTCTTTTGGTTGCCGAGGCCGTCAGAAGCGACGCCGTGTCTTATGTCCCGAGGGCAAGCCAGAAGTGCCTCAAGTGAGCTGTAGAGTATGCAAGAAGAAAATGTGGCGAAATTTTTTCATTTTATGTAACCTTTCGTTTCGTATAAAACGTTGGGTGGAAGGGATTTAAATAATTAGCCTTACCCTACCCTAAAGGATATTTGTTTTGGAATCGTGACTGTCGATTTAGAGTTGGTGTTGTCCGTGTACTCTTTTTCGGCCTCGATGAATTCGCAATGAGCTCCCTTCGATCATATCATGGCAGATGTTGGCAGAGTTAAGAGTCATTTACTCTTTAACAAACCTCACCAAATGCAAGGCCAAAATTTCTTGTTAAAGTATATTTTCTCGATCTGACTATATCTATTAAGATGGGATCAACACTGATAAAGCGGGGTCAAAAGGCACTTCGCCGATCACCTCAACGTACAAATCAACAATCGTACCTACAAGGCTATTTATCTTAGGTTCTGGCGACAACTCTTTACGAATCCTTTCCGTACAACTTTTCCCGATAAAATAAGAGTCTAATGATAATATGTTAGTCTTGGGAACCAAAATTTTAATCCCATATACGGCACGCTCCCATATTTTTTCCATAGATCAGTCCTATATTGTATATAAGGTAGAAATTTTGTAGGAATGATTCGACAGTCGATAAAAAGCTAGTAATTTACTATACAGGAATAAACAAGTCTTCGTCTTGACATGTTTCATATCGTCGGAAATTAAGCCACTGACTGGATACCAGGAAGGAAGTTTGTCTAAGTAGGTTGTTGATGGGACATTCGGTTTATATCAATCCACTTGAAACTTGGTTATTAAGGATTCTGAAAAAAGTATCCTTTAGGCTCTATTGCATAGTACTGGCAAACTAAGGGGTTAAGGGCTTTCTTCGTAGATCGTGCACTATGAAGGTATCGTCTGTTGCCATCATTTTGCAAATTAGAGTTGCCGAACCATTCTGTTTGGATCCTAAATAATTCACTTGAAGCAGAAAAACAAAAATTCCTATTATATGAATGAAGTCTAGGGACGGTACTCTGGGGACCATCAAATTAGTGCTATTGTAAGTTGTTCTTGTAACAGGCCAGATCTTTAATTTTCTGTCATGGTAACAGCTCTGACTCTCCATCCTGCATTTGAACATTATAAAGAAACAAATAAGCTTGTGAAGTATTCAAAGTCAATCATTTTTAATTTTGTACAACTTAATATTAATGCTTTTTGCTAGGTTTTGCGACTTGCGATTCCATACCATCTCCGAATTCCAGTGACCAGTTGGCAGGTCACCCAAATACGCCAGCTAAATCAGGGTAGGTCAATTTTTTTTATTTTTAAAAACCATTTTCCATTATTTTTTTTCCTGACTTTTCTTGCTTATAATGCATGCATCGAACATTGTTTGAGTTTCGAGTTTGTCTTGCTATTTCTAAACTTATTTTTTTAATTTTTTAATCTATCATGATTATATTTTTGACAAAAAACATACTTCTAAACCTTTTCACGGAACTGAAATTTTCCTTTGTCTCCACGATGTATTTTGCGCCTACCAGCCAAATCCTGTCAATATGAGAGAAGCTTCAATTGATTTATTTTCGTTCTTTATTCTGGGTGAATGCTAACTTAGGTTCACGATCTCCTAGGCTTTTAGTGCGCTTTACTGGGTCATGGAAGACGTAATCACTCCTGATCCGAAGTAAACATGGGCTTTTAAAGTCATTTCTCTTATCGCGGTTCGTATGTAAATTTTGAAGTGAACTAAAGAGGTGATTCAAATTTTGCGAAAGTATTTAAGTAAATAGGCTGGCGAATTGTATATAAGGCTGATAAATGCCTCAGATTTTAAGTACGAAAACAACCTATCCTATGTGGATACTCTCTGTGATTAGACAGACATTAATTTTCGATACTTCTTTTTCTGGTATCACTCTTCAGGAAGTCGAGTCTTTGCAGTTACCAGCTGTGACCAAATTTCACTTATGCAATAGGCCTTCTTCTTTGCCATTAATTATCTACTAAAAATCCTTTATACTACTCTATAAGATGCTTTTTGATGCCTTCCTTGTCACAGTGAGTGCAGCAATTTATCCTATCTGTGTCAGTTTTTCAACCCATTACAGGCACATTTTTGTATTTTATCTCGGACAGGCCTTACTCTTTTTCCCACTGCTTGCAATTTTTTCTACTCTACGCACTTAAAAACCTAAATTTAGCATCTACTGTCTGAACTTTTTGATAGATTGGCATAAACTTTTACATAAGTTTTAGAAAAACCTAGCTATGTTATAGAGGTTATTTGACCTTGTTTCGCAACTAGTCCGGAGTTCATTGTATGCATGATCATTTCCAAAGTTGGATTATGGACGTGGTACTTTCCTAGACGTTTCGCTGGCATCGTAGTCGGCATCCTCAGTGAGTCTCGCCATTCGTAGCACTATAGTACAGCTCGTCAAAGGGACAAGTGAAGCCCATCCTTTGACCAAACGTGTGCTAAACAGTTGTGGTATCTCGCCTTCTGCCCTGGGCTATTCACATTTCCTATATCCTCCTATCACGCCTTCCCTGTCACCATTTTTACCGTGTTTATCTTGATGTAGTGTGGTGTGCTGCTTCGAGCGGCATTCATGATAACCCTTCACATTCCACGATGTCGTTGACCAGAGTCTATCATATTTTTACGTAGTCCTTCCATGGGTCTTATCAAAGTCTCCCTTTTGCACACCACACTACATCAAAATAAGCACAGTAAAAATTGTGAGTGAAGGTATGATAGGAGGATATAGGAAATGCGAATAGTCCATGGCAGAAGGGGAGATACCACAACGGTTTAGCACACGTTTGGTCAAAGGATCGAATGGCGAGACTCACTGACGATGCCGACTACGATGCCGGCAAAACGTCTGGGAAAGTGCCACGTCCAAGGTCCGACTCTGGAAATGATCATGCATACAATGGACTCCGGACCAGGTGCGTTCCTCTAGGTCTTCCTACCAATGTGACCAAGCTGCGAAAACAAGGTCAAACAACCTCTATACAACGAAAGAAGACTGCAACCACACAAAAGGCCACATTATCTTGGTCTTCATACCTAGTTATGTTATGTCTGATCTCGCTCTTGTATAAGCAATTTTTTATTTTTTTCCTTTTTATTCTTCTTTCAATAAAGATTAATTTTCGGCTTTATTCCTTCTTTGTTCGGGTATGCTTCCCGCCTCTCTATCTCTCCCTCTTTCCCTCTTTCCCTCTTTCTTCTCTTTGCGAATGAGGAGCCGTAGACTAGCTACTGCGATACATCAACCATCCTTTAATCTTATATTCGGAAAAAATATTTGCATTTAAGGTTGGTATTGACAATTGCACCTCTCTTACCTCTCTTTGTTAAATCATCTCTTTTTTATCATTTTTATTCTTCAGTCCTCCAAGCGGCACTTCATCAAAGTTCCAAGACTGAAGCCTTGTTGGCGGCATATAAGCATCGATGTAAGTTTGAAGCTATCCTTACTATCATACTTATTGTTCGGCACACATTGCTTTCAGGATAAGTCGCATCTTTACATTTATTTTCCAATTTTAGTTCAAGTTTGGAAACGATAACTGCACTCTTTAATCTTATGACAAGCCTTATTCCTCATTAGATCTTGATCACCCTAGGCCTCTTTAGGTTATCTAAAGACTAACAGTTGAGTTTTTCCACACTGGGATCAATAAACCTAAGCGGTCATTAAATTACACTTAACCTTACGTCCCCATAAGCTGTATCATCTCAAGGCTGAGCAAAATTCAATGATATCGTGAGGCCTACTTAGAATTGTAGGAACATTTTATATTCAGGAATTACCATTAGTCTCGTAAACTACTTGCATCAAAAATTATTCATCGCATTTGCTCTCCTTACTTCTAAGTTAGCATAACTTGTCTACTCATATTTATGATCCAGGACACCCTCCATTGACGCTGTTAGGCATATAATGATGGAATTGCAGGATTTTTACGAATATAAAACTTGTCTTGCATTTTTATTTTCATTATCTACCATGTTATCGCTCCTTTAATTCTAAGCTTGACTAGCTTCGCCGGGAGATAAAAAAATTGATGTTTTTTCCTGTTAAACATGTTTTTTGCTAATCACTGCTTGTCCTGAGCACCTCTTGGGACCTTACTCTTCATTTCTTGTTTATCTGCCACCAGCTTACGCTCCTCACATGAGACATATTTCAGTTAATGGACCTTGAGACTGGTTTTTCTTTAAGTTTTTGAAACCAGCAGAAAATTAAGACTAAGGAATGGCTGCTAAAATAAGTTAGAATGAATATTTCTAGTTAGAGATAGAAATCAAGATAATGCCGTAACTACCGAGCCAGTTTGTTTTTCAGCTGTGGTCCTAGGTTTGCCAATATTAATGGATGAAATTAATTTACTCTCTAACTCAGGAGCAGCATATTCAAAGAAATCCCATATTACTACTATAATATGTGGCATTATATAAACTTCATTGGATCTCGAATTAAGTCTTACATATTTACCTTCCATTGTATAATTTAACAAATTATGGCAACTCGCAAGTTGGAGTTAAAGTATCTTGTCTGCGACCAGGCGTACGCATACGCACAGACATAATATTAACAAATTACTAGTTGTATATTTAAAGAAGGCTGCCTGGCAGGCTGAAGCTAGTGTGAAAAGTTTGTATATGAATTGTGCTCACCCTATTTCGTTTAAGGTGAAGAAGGACTGGTAGTTAGATTTTCCTACTTTAAACGAAATATGGTGAATACAACTCATATTTGATTTACTGGTACTCTCGAAAACATACTCACTGAATTTTTTTTGGCAGCGCTAATTTCAATTAGTAGTGTGAGAATTTTTCATCGCCTTCCAATGTATGGCGATTGGGGATGATAAACTAGGTATACTTTAATACATTAAACCATTGTTATTATGCAACATTATACATTAAATATTACAAGAACAGGCTTGTTCGCAAAATCGATTTAATGTCATCTCAATAAAAAGTTTATAAACTTCTTTAACTCAAAACCATTTTGAACGGCTTGAAATTTACCTCCGTATTATGAATCACTGGCATTTGTGGCAGTGGCGTAGTGGTAACATGTCGAGCTTATTCGTTGCACTACCCAAGCTCGATTCTTGTTGAGGATGTTGATGCTAACCAAGTGAGGTCAAAATTGAAGTCCACCTTGTGTGATAATATTTTATTGAAATTAAGGCTGTGAGTATCATTGGCATCGTGAGGTCTACCCATATGATTGTTGACAAATATATACCTTTAGTCCTCCATCATCTAAGACGAATTGAGCTCTTATTTAAGCCTAACTGATAGTATGAATATAACTATACTTATATTATACTATTTTATGCCAATTATTTAACTTAGATTTTTCCGAGCCCAAACAAACTTCGGCGGAGCTAGATGAGGTCGGTAGAGGGTCGTCAC